TGATAAATTCTAGATGTCTGTCTCCAAAAGTGTCAGGCTTAGAAACATTTGCACAGAGGGTGAGGTCTTGGTCAAGGTGAAAGTCGGAACGATTAATGGGGGCCTGGGGTCAAATACTGTTCCCTCCCGTTTCTCCTACAACTGAAAGGGGGATCCGAAAATGTAGATGAAAAAACCCCTGGATAATCTGCACTGCATTTCAGTCTTTGGGTTTGAAATACAATTTAGTTTGTGTATGTGTGTGTGTGTGTGTGTGTGTGTGTACACATGTGCAGTTTTTAATAGCCCAAGTAACACTTTATGCTGTATTCCCAGAATTCCACCTGGGACTAGACAAAATTGGCTCTGATACCCAGTGCATTTTCTCAAACCTCCACTTAGGCAATTGCTTGGTTTGCGCCAGGCACTGTACTGGGGCCTTCCTCCCCCCACAAGTCTAGGTGGTAGGTACTAACGCCATACCTGTTTCCCAGGAGAGCATAGAGCCGCTCAGAAAGGGGAGGAGACAGCCCAAGGTCACCACACTAGCAAGATCAAAGTCAGCACTGTCATTTCTGTTGGCTCTACTTTTAACTGGTGTTCTCAACTGGAGATGATTTGGCTTCAGAGGACTTTTTTTGGGAGGGGGGGGGATGCTGCTAGAATCCTGTAACTAGAAGCCAGGATGCAGCTATACCTCCTGCAATGCACAGAATGACCCTGCAACAAAGACCCACCCCAGCCCGAAATATCAGTCATGCAGAGGTTGAGAAACTCTTGCTTTTCACCCTGTGCAGAATTCCCCCCTGAGCTAGAGATGGGAGGGGTGAGACCTTTCTGCAACTTGCTTTTGACTCAAAGGGTTGAAACATTCTTACTTAGGCTCTGAATATACTTCTTCAGTCTTGGAAAAGTAAAGTGAGTTAGAGAAATACCTTGAGAACCGATGTCTAAAGAAAGGAAAGGACGCAGATTTTTACGGAGGACATGTGTGCTGGTCCGGATCAGACACCTCAAACCCATTATGCCATTTATCCTTCAGAGCGGCCGTGGGCTTGGAGGACATCATGCTTCCCCTGACTCCTGCGTTTAAACCAGGGAAGAAATTGAGGCCGAGGAAAGTGAACATACTCAAGGTCACGTAGCTCAGAGATGGAGCCTGAATTCGAACCCAGGCTTCAAAGATTCCACGCCTCTGCCTCACATGCTTGATGCTTTGCTGATTACTTTTTCCTTTTGGTAGGAAATAATAAAAGCTTTGCTGATAGTCAAGTAGAAAGCTTAAAGAAGGGTATTAAATAATCCCCCTCCTTTTAAATGAAAAACATTCCTTTTTATACCCTGTAATCAATAGGTACCATAGAGATTCTGTATCAGCATACGGGAGTACAGGTGAGTTAATTATAATTATGCTTTTTTTCTTTTACATTTCTCAAGGCACATTTATGATCCATGATCTCCACAACAGTCTTCTGAGGCTGTTGAGGGCAAACATCCTCATTTTACACCTGAAGAACTGGGCCCCAGAGCGGGTGAAATCGGCCTTCAGCCGTGTGAGCCTGGGGCCTGCTGTGCCCCCCTGAGGGCACTGTCCCTACAGTGCGCTGGGCTAGAGACACTGACCTTCCCTCCCAAGCCTGGGTGAGCTCAAGTGAACTCTGACTCACTAGAATTAAGCCACATAAACTCTTTTATGAGTAGTAACCATTTACTGTGTCCTGTAAAAAAAAGAGGGGGCCCCTCGCTACGTTGGCTGCCTTCCCTAGGAAAGGGGGTGCCGGCAGGTAGCAGCGCTCGTGCCCACCGGCCTCTTGGGGGGCGGGGGTGACCTTGCAGGCCTCAAGGCTCCTTTGTGGGTTCAGTAGCTCTGGGTGCCTCCAGAGGGTCATGACAAGAAATGGCGTCTGCCCTGAGGAAAGGGGCTTGTGGGCATTGGGTCACAAGGGGGACCGTTGTCCTGTGCCGCTCATTGGACTCTTCTTTACACCCGCTGAGTTTTCTCCGTCACAACCTCATTAGTCCCCTAGTACTTCGAGTGTGGGATTGTTCCCATTTTGCAGGTGGAGAAAGTGAGCAGCAGAAAGTTTTTGGCTAACAGACTTGGAAGTTGCTCAAGGTCATGTACAATAATCAGGGGTGCTAGGATCTGAGCCCGCATCTCCCCAACTCCAAAACCAGGGTGCTTAGCCCATCCACCACCCTGCCTTCTGGGGTTTTATTTGGGAAGTGGCGAATGGGAGATCTGAGCCAACCACGGAGGTAACTCAGAATTAGCTGAGGCAGGTCCTGCTTCCATGGACGTGGCCGCTTAGAAATAGTCCTGCAGGCAAATCCTTGTGCGAGTCTCTGGGAAGTCGGCCCTGCCCACCCCTCCCCCACCTGGAGGCCCTGCTTCTCTCTGCAGTTGGGCTGGGCTCTGAGCTTCAGCCCTTTCAGGGTTAAACAGTAACCTTTTTACTGCATGTGGTTGAGCAAATTTTGGCGAGGAACAAGCCCAGCCTTGAGCAAACAAGAGACCGGCCTTGCCCCTTCCCTTCCAGAGCCACCCCTCTGGGGACCGAGAGATTTTCTTTTGCCTTGAAGACCCTCTTCTGACTTCTTAGCTTAGGGTGATTGCTCTAAAAAGCTGGTTGGGGAAAGGCCCAGTTATTGTGAAAAAGAGACAGCTTTCACTTGGTTTGGTTTTCCTTCCCCGAGGGCGAGAACCAAAGAGGTTTCTGGAAAGGAACTTAAAAATCAATTTAGTTGCCTGGCCAGTGTGGCTCAGTGGTTGAGCACGGACCCATGTACTGAGACACCAGTTTGATTTCTGGTCAGGACACATGCCCGGGTTGTGGGCCCGATCCCCAGTGGGGGGCATGCAGGAGGCAGCCAATCGATGTTCTCTCTCAATGTTTCTATCTCCTCTCTTCTTCTCTCTCTAAAAGCAATAAAAAAAATCAATTTAGTTGCCCTGGCCAGTGTGGCTCAGTTGGTTGAGTGTCATCCCTTGTGTCAAAAGGTCACAGGTTTGGTTTCCAGTCAGAGCACATGCCTAGGTTGAGGATCAACCCCTGCTCTGGGTGTAGATGGGAGACAGCCGATGGATGTTTCTCTTTCATATTGATGTTTCTCTCTCTCTCTCTCCTTCTCCCTCCTTCCCTCTCTAAAAATCAATAAAACCATACTTAGAAATCTGTTTAGCCACCTTCTTCAGGTGTTTGTGTGGGGAAACGGAGGCCTGTGGTTGTTTCTGGTTCAGGTTATCCAAAGAGGTGTGACTCTCCTTAGAGTGACACCTGCTGCGGAGCCACGCCCTATTTTGTGCCAAGCGCTTAGGGTGTAGAAACTCATTTAATCTCTGGTCAATGCCCATGGTAGGTATGATGATCTGCGTTTTGCATATGAGAAAACCGGGGTTCAGAGAGGTTCATGAGTTGTCAGAGTCAGCACTCGCCTTAACTAGTAAGTGGCAGAGTTTGGAATCAACCCCAGCTCTTTCTGTCTTTGAAACTCTTACCCACGGCACCGCCACACAGAGCGCAGCCCTCCTGCCTTACCACGCCGTGGGCCCTCACCGTCACCAAGGCCATCGTTCCCACCCTGTCTTTCCTTTCCCACCTCCTCCTGAGGCTGGATTCAGGCCCAATTTTGCCAAACAACCGTGATGATGATGTTAATAATCATCATAAAGGTTTCTGTCTAGCCTGATTTAACTCCTAATCACCGCTCTGTCCCCAGCGCCTAGGACAGTGCCCAGCCTATAATAAAGCTGATAAATTTTTGTTGAATAAGTGGATACATGAATCCATTTTATTTCTTTTCCGGGCCTCTCCCCTCCCCTCTCAGGCCCTCCACAGAACCAGAGGAGCAGGAGCTAAATCAAAGGAAGGGGTCCTAAGGGCTGGAACTACCCTGGGTGGGCGCTTGGATCCTTGGGACATGGGGGACACTCAGGGATACACGATTCCCCAAAGCTGGCAGAAACATTTCCCTGACCTGCTGCTATAAAGCTACCTTTCTCTGCCTCTCCCAGCATTTTAGGAAGTGCACGCTATCTTTACAGATCCTCGGTAATGTTCTAGCGCCCTCGGGACACAGGCTGCTCGTCTTGTGAAAGCTTGAGCATTCATTCACATGGGGCTGGAGTCTGACAGGGAGGGTCCCTGGCTTGGGGGTGAGGTCATGATAGGTGCTGGAGAAGGGAGGCAAGTGTTTCTCAAGTATACATTTTTTACATCGTTTAAGAAATTCAAGCAAGCTTATGGAATAGGCGTTTCTCCTGGGTCCCTTACTGAGACAATGAGCCCTCAGATTGAGCAAGTCACCTTTCGGTCACCTTGGAAGTTTGTGGTATTCGGAAAGGAGGGAGAAAGCTAGTCCGAATTTTTACCAGGAAGGAAAGGGAGGGGCAGTATCTTATCTGGGAAACCAGTTGATTCCTGATGTGATCATGGAGCCAGATACTGGAGGAGCTCTGGGTGAAATACGACTGAGGCCCCCTGACACCAGCCCATGGTCGACGCCTGTGCGGAGGATCCTTGCCGGGAGCCCGGGTCGGGGCTGCCCCGGTGCGCTGGGACTCCGAAACGTCTGATTTCAGGGTTCCCACACAGGTGCTGGTTCTGTGCTGCAACCAGCTTAAATGGTCATTGTTTGCGATTCCACTTTAAACAAAATCTCTTTGGCGTTTTCACTTTTGTTTAAAAAAAAAAAAGGCTTGGCTGCTGGCCAGACTGGCCCTGGAGCAGGTATTGCGTTCTCCCTCCGCTCCATTCCTGATCAGAGATTATTCATTTATGAATGGGTGGCTGTAAAAACTTGCCTCATGCATATGAAAACTGAACCTGGACATTTTTAATCGCCCCTGAGTTTTGCTTTTGCTGAAAGCCCGTAGCAATATGTTTTGGAGGCAATGGTTGGAAGGACAAATCCTTTTTTTTTTTCTTTTCTTTCTTCCTAAATTAATTCTATGACCGGCACTCTCAAATGACGCCTGCCCAAGAGGCCCTGACTGAACGGGCTGTTTGATCACCTTACAGATCATGATTCTGGAAGGAAGTGGTGTAATGAATCTCAACCCCAGCAGCAACCTCCTCCACCAGCAGCCAGCCTGGACAGACAGCTACCCCATGTGCAATGGTAAGGGGCCCGGTGGGTGTCGCACCCCATGGGGGATTTTGCTTTGCTTTCATTAGCCTTCATTTTCCAGCTTCAGGTAGGAGGCACACAGCAGGAGATGTGAGCAACCGTGGGAATGGAGAAAACTCTTCAGGCTGGGGTTCTCTGTAGGCTCCCAGTGCTCCAGGCGGAAGCTCACTGGTTATATTTCATGGTCTCCTCCCAAGACGCAAGGTTCTGGGTGGGCAGCCTGGCAGAGAGGGTCATAGAAGACAGGGAAGGCCACCCGTTGAAGCTTTTAACAGTATTTGGCTTAGGACAGCAAGATAGGATAGGAGCGAAAGATACATGTGCGCGTGGGCACGTGTGTGCGTGCATGCGTGTGTGTTGCATGGAAGCATGGAGTTAGAGGAGAGGATAATATCAGCTTCGTTTTTCTCTTTCATGTTCCAGTGACCTGCCTTTGTCAGGGGAGAAGGGAACTGTTAGGAAACTGTGTGCCCCCCTTTAGTGCTTTAATCTAGAACCTACTGATTAGAAGAGGAGGGTTTGGTGGTGGGGCTTAGAGAGGGTTTGGTGACCAAGCCAGTGGCCTACTGTAGAAACGGCACTGAACCAGGGTGCAGCTGAATCAGGGCCCCGCACCCCGCTGCGAAGGCACGCAGTCCAGGCAGCCGGCTGTGCGGCCGACCGCGGTGGCCAAGAAGCTCCAGGGCTTCCCTACCCCACACTGCTGCTCATCTCACCAGAGACTCTGCTGCTCTGACTCCCCTGGAAAATGCAACGGCCTGTTGGTGAGCGCAGTCTGGGAGGGGATGGAGGAAAATGGAAGGCTCATGTTCTCCCATGAACAGCTGGCCCTTGTGCAGCTCCGCCTCCAACGCAGAACCCCAGCCAAACATGCCGAAGCGTGCACAGGTGACCTTCCCTTGCGTGGTCACCTGTCCCACCAAAATTCTGCCTTTCTGAGTAGTGACATTTTCTGTTGCTGGCCTCGGATCACCTGTGGGGACCTCCCAAGAGGACTCCAGATAGAGCAGGTGGGTTCTTCAGACTGGACCTCGAACAGGCAATGTTCTTCCTGTTTGCCTTGGAGAAGTCCAGGGCCATCTGTTCAGCAGGAAGTAGAATTTAGGTACCACTTTTCCCTCTTAATTTCCAGAGGCCTCAAAGAAGGCCAGGTCCTGGTCATAATGGTTGGGGTGTGGGAAGCCATTTGAATGACAGAGAAGAGCCAAACTCATAGGAGTTTCAGTGTTTCTCCTGAAATTTCAGGAATCTGGTGAGTCCACTGGCTTATGGGGAGAATTTCCCAGTCGACTTCATATAAAATTCTCTGCTTCTTTCAAGTTCTAACAGGGGGCACTGTCGGGAATGATCCTTTGATCTGGACCATGTGAAATCAAGAGAAGATATTATTCCAGGCCAGTTGTTGGGTCCTGAGTTATTGCCTCATGTTAGCACTCCCTGAGCTATACTGTCATGGCAACAGGGTTATTCTAGAAAAAGAGAACAAAGATGTATGGAACCACAAAAAAATATATCCCATCCTTAACAGCTATATTTGTGAGACCTCCAAATTTGAAAGGAAATGGAAACGTCCTGTCTAAGCTCTACTTGAGCTTATATATTTGGAAATGTTTCTTTGGAATTCAGTTTTTGGACTAGATTTTCCCAATCCTTGTCCCCATTTCTCTGTACCACTGGCTTCCCCTTCACGGCCCAAGCTGAGGGCTTAGGGCTGCTTTTGACTGGCCATGAGGTATGAGAAGTCCTGTGAGTGGCAGCTATTACCCAAGGCAGTCACCTTCATGCCTCATCATCTCGACCTCCTGGTCTTAGTGCTTCTGAAGTCTGAAAGTAGTGGATGGATTCTGAATGGGTGAGCAAAAGTGGGATCGGATGAGAAACATTCCCCATCAACCTCTCCTCTGGAGGTGTAGAGGGCTAGGCCATGGGCATTATGGGAGTCCAATCTTTAGGGGTTCTTTACCGTCTTGCAACTCAAACTGTATCTACAGATCAGCAGCAGCAGCATCCTCCTCCTCCTCCTCAAGTGGAAGCTTGTTAAGAATGCAGAAACTTGGGTCTCACCCCAGATTTGTGGAACCAGAATCTGCATTTGAACAACATTCCCTGGTGATTCATAACTACATTAGAGGTTGAGAAGTAGTAATCTACTGTGACCTTGAAGCAAAAGTTAGCATCAGTTTTCTTGTACCACACATTCCACTGTTGGTCTACCCTCAAGTTTGTGGGAATACCTGTCACGTTTAGCTGGATTTCCTCTGCTTCAGCTTGGTGGGCTGCAGTAGGGTATTCCCCCTGCCCCTGCCCCTCACCTTTCCAGAAGAGAGTGATTCCCTCTAGATCTCTGTTTACAAGGGGTCTGTAGGACCCCTCAGCCCTGTCATATGCCCCCAGAGGCTGGTTCTCTCTTCTTCATCCCCCAGGACTTTGGGCTGATGATGGTCTCCTAAGTAAGCATGAGATGGAAACCACACATTGATGGTTAGCCCATATTAAGCTTAGCAAGTTTTATTAGCTCAAATGAATCTGCATTTGAGCAACATTCCCTGGTGATTCACAATTACTTTAGAGGTTGAGAAGTACTGCTCTATCACGACCTTGAAGCAAAGTTAGGGACAGTTTTCTGGTGCTACACGTTCCTTTGTTGGCCCACCCTTGAGTCTATGGGAATATCTTCACTGGTATTTGAATTAACCATCTTGTGAATGCACCTCACAACTCTTCTGGGTTCTCACGTTATTTCTTCTTCAGCCACAAATTCCGCTAAAGAAATCTATAGCGAGCGTCTAAGATGGCAAGGCCTCTAAGCTAGGTGCTCAGATGGGCGAGACAGAGTCCATGACCTTGAGCATACAGTGTACCGAGGACACCAAGACAGTGCTTAGATACTCCTCAAGAAAAGCAGAACGTGACAAACGCCATTAGGAGAAATACCCAACGCTTCTCCTGGAGATTTGAAGGGCAGCAATAAATTGGGAATCTGTGAAGACTTTGTGGGCTGGTCAGAGTCTGAAGGCTCTGTAGGAATTCAACAGGGAGTGATTGGTAGAACTGGCTTGAAAGAACAAAAGAGAAAAAAACGAGAAAGTCATAGGTCACTTGAGGAATAAATAGCTAGTGAAGAGCCTCAGTGTGTGGCTTGGCAGTTTGGTACCCATTTCAGTGGATAATGGGGAGTGACCGAAGGTAACTGAGTAAGAAAATGACCTTGTAGTAGCTGTAATAACAGTGTGGGGCAGGGGTAGATCAGCCCCATTAGTGGATGAGGAACCTGGACCACTTTGGGGAGAAGCAAAGGCATCAGAGAGCAAAGAACCTTACTCTTGGGCCTCGTTTTTGGCTGAAAATAGTCTGAATTTGAGGTATGTGTGTGTGTGTAAGAGAGAAAAGATAGGAGAGAGAAAGAGGAAAGAAGAAAGAGAACTTTGTGAGTGAACAGTAGCTAAAAGTCACTGAAGCTAGCAATGCTTGAGCTGTCATGGGCCTTCGGGGAAGGTGGGGAATAAGCTTGTGGTCTCAGAGGTTTCAGGTTGCATGTCCTCACCCAGCTCCCAGGGGTAAGCTGTATAGTAAGGAGGGCATCAAGATGCACGGGGGCTAAATGGCTGGCCCCCACCACAACTAGGAAAAGGACCACATTCCCCAAAGCCTCCTCTTCGGAGCCCGTCTCCTGCTCCAGCTCCTCCTGGTGCGCAGGGCTGTGGTTGTGGTCCTCACGGCTCCCAGCAGCCAGCAATGCGCCCTCGTCTGGGATTATGCCCTGGAACAGCCCCGTGTCACTCACAGAACCACCTCCTGTTTTGCAGTTTCCAGCGGGTTTTTCGTAGGCCAGTGGCATGAAATCCATCCTCAGTATTGGACCAAGTACCAGGTGTGGGAGTGGCTCCAGCACCTCCTGGACACCAACCAGCTGGATGCTAGCTGCATCCCTTTCCAGGAGTTCGACATCAACGGCGAGCACCTGTGCAACATGACTTTGCAGGAGTTCATCCGGGCAGCAGGGACGGCGGGGCAGCTCCTTTACAGCAACTTGCAGCATCTCAAATGGAATGGTGACTACCTTTCTTCCCATCTCGCGAGGGGCCGACTGAGAAGGGCAGAGACTGTGCAGCCAGCAGGGTTCCTAGTCAGGGACATCAGAGGATGGTTGCACCTCCAAATTACTGTTTCCAAAATTGGGGAGTAGAAGGGAGGTGAGAGAACAGGCACAAAGCCTAGGCTACAAGGTGTGTCTAATCCCATACAAACCCAATGTCATCTAATTCTCTCCTGGTTAATTTTCCGCGTGTGCTAGTAGAGTATTCACAGAATATTTGCCACTCTCAGAAAACCGTTTCTTCTTTGCCTTGCAAATAGGGTTTGATCGTTTAATTCCCAGTTATTTGCTTGTTAAGATCACCATGGCTACCTTAAAAAAATTTTTTTTTCTTCATTGATATTAGAGAGAGAGAGAGGAAGGGCGAGGGAGAGAGAGAGAAACATTGATGAGAAAGAGCATCAACTGGCCACCTCCTGCATGCCGCCCACTGGGGACTGGGCCCACAGCCTGGGCATGTGCCCTGACCGGGAGTCAAACTGGTGACCTCTTGGTGCATGGGTCAAGGCTCAACCACTGAGCCACACCTTTTTTTTTTTTCCCCCAACTTAAGATGGGGCCTAACATGGTAAGAAGATATGTAAAATTAGATCTATGTCTGTGGAGGGAAGGGGAGAAGATTTACAATATTTCAGCAGATTCTTAAAAGTTCCACTAACAAAAAAGGGGGGTTAAAGCTAGTGGTCTGGACACATGTAGGATGTGTCTGCAGTGATTTCTGGAGTTGTGGCTGCCCTTGGAGCCAAATGTCTCCCTTTCGAGGTCTGCCTAGCGCGGACGGGCACCTGTGCATCGCAGTAGTTCATACGCACAGGCACGCATTCTACACTGGCCTGTAAGGCATGGTGGGCAGGCGATTCGTCTTGCAGTGGCATTGACACTGGCATAAAGTTGCCCTGGCACTGGCTATAAAAACAACTAGCTCCTCTGAGAACAACAGATACTTGGGAAAGCAGTGATCTGCAAGCCAAGTGAGCTGGCCTGTCCCCATCAGAAGGAGCAAGTCGGTCTTAGCAGAACCTGTACGTAGGCAGGTAGCCGGGGCTTAGAAAAGCATGAGATCCAGGACCTGAGCCACATTCAGACCCCACAGCTGCCATCAACGCCAGCCGGGACCCAGAGCCCGGGCACAGAGCCGGCTGCAGTGCTGGCCGTCTTCGATGACCTCACTCAGCTCCTGGGCACTTCCTTCTTCCCTCTTACCTCACGGAGGTGCGTGCACATTTTTCTTTTATTAGAACCAAACCAAACAAGGCTCTATAAATAACCCCCAGGAATCTTCAGAAAGAGCAGACTTACACTTGAGGAATTGAAAATATTTACCTCCCCACCTCCAATTAAGACCAAATCCTTTAAAGCGTTGCCCTGATTGAAGCCTAAGGCAGGGAGTCCTGGGAGGTGATGCGGCCGTCTCTGACCTTCCGTGACCTGCTTGGCCCCACGGGGTGCTGCCGGTGCCTCTGTAAGTGCATGGTGACCAGATTCCCCACCTTGGATTTGTCGTTTGCCTTTTTATAGACATTCCATTAATTTACATGTATTAAGTGTTTACATATCCTAGACACACTGAGTTGATTCATTTAATGACTTTCTGAGAAAATAAATATTGTACCCATTTTACAGATGGGACAACTGAAGGTTAGAGGGTAAAGGCATGCCCCCTGCTCCTGAGATATGTGTACTCTGGCTGGGGAGGACAATCATATGAGATTTCTTCATATGTATATACGTGCCTTTTATATGATACATCCAGAGATGCAAGGCATAAAGGAGGACCGGATCCCTGCATTTACACCGACATAGCTCATGGATTGGATCTAATCAAAATGGATTTGATTGAATTTAAGATCAAAAGAGTATAAAGCCAGTTAAATGAAAATGATTTTTCTTTTATTTTCGTTTTCCATTTTGTATCACATCTTAGCATGGGAAAGCACCTTCGCCGCCATTAGTAATGCCTTTATCTAGTGTAATCCCCTACGTTTACCGATGAGGAGACCAAGACCCAGGATGGTGAAGTGTCTTATAGTTATCAGTGGAAAACTTGCCTTCTCCCTTCTGAAGTTCTGTTTCCACCATACTGGATACCTTCCCTCTAGAAGGCCAAATAATTCAACCTGATGGGTGCCTGAGCTACTGATTTTCTGGGCCAGGAGGCTCAGGCCTGAGTTCTCAGCTGCAGAGAGGGAGCCCCTCCTATGAGCAGACAGAGGGGATCAGGCAGTGGGACTGGCGGAAGCTCTTCTGAGAAGCCAGCTCCATCCTTGTTGAAGTTTTGGCTCCATGGGGACCTGCTCTGACTTTCCCAATCTGTCCCTCACAGGCCAGTGCAGCAGTGATCTGTTCCAGTCCACACACAATGTCATTGTCAAGACCGAGCAAACAGGTGAGCAGCAGCAAAGCCCTGTGGAGGGTGATGGAAGGAGGGCGAGGGAGTGTGGGGCAGACGGAGCCAGCAATTTGGCAGGAAACCCAGGGACGCCTCTTCCCTGGCTCTCTCCAGTGGGCCACCCTCCGTGAGCCTCGTTCCTTGTGCTTGGGACCAGTGACTGCCAACTAGTTCTGATTTCTAGACTGATGGTGAGACTAATTCCGCCCACGCTTCTCTGCTTACTACTACTAGTCCAGGCGTCATCCAGGCCCCAGTCCAGAGCTGGGGAAACTGCGGAGCCTCAGTGGGTGTCCTCACCACAGAGTCGGGGGGGGGGGGGTGGCCAGATCAGGAGAAGCAAAGCAAGGGGAGAGAGGAGGAAGGTTTGCTGTCTCCTCCCTCCTCCGTAGGTAGGAGTGTTACACCCAAAAAAAGGAAGATGCAGACTTGCTGTTGTGCTTGCTATAGTTTCTAGGGGGCTCTTGGAGGTGCTGCAGGAATATCTAAGGCAGCTGGGGAACCCAATTCCTGCCTTATGCACACTTTTATTTTTATTTTTAATTTTTTGTCCTTAATTGATTTTAGAGAGGAAGGGAGAGAGAGCGAGAGATAGAAACATCGATGAGAGAGAACATCAATTGCCCGCCTCCTGCATGCCCCCCGCCACTTGGGATCAGCCCACAACCTGGGCATGTGTCCGGACCGGGAATTGAACCAGCGACCTCTTGGTGCATGGGTCAACGCTCAACCACTGAGCCACACCGGCCAGACCTGATGCACACTTTTAGATGCAAGACTATTCTGGGCTCTGAGTAGGGTCTATAGTCCCATAGCATCTATATTCATTTTTGTTCTCCTTCTCCTGTCTCAGCCTCTCACCTGGACACTTGCAGGGGGCAGTAACTGCCATGAGAAATTGTACCCCTTGGCCTTGCACCAACCAGAGCTCCTTGCACATTGACCTTTGGCCTCTTGGTCTAAGGAGGGCTCTGCAAGTCCCCCAGGGTCCATTGGCCATGAGGAAGCTGCCGCTGCCACTGCTCCAGGGTTGCTCCCCAGGTCCTCAGTGAGGCTGCCAGCCACGAGGGCCCACTGAGTCTGCCACAGGCCTGCCTGAAGCTTGCGTGCCAATCACCGAAGGCAGAATTCCACCTACGGGCGATTTGGGAGTCACTCAGAGTCCAAATTGGCCCCATGCAGTTATTTGCTCTTTTATAAGGGGGCTAGTCTACCATTATTAAAGAAAAAACAATAGCTGTTAAGCATATTATTAGTTTTTCCTATCCCTGCCCTTCCCCCACCAACCAGGGGTTGGGTTACCTGGACGGTCTGTGCTCTATGGATCTGACTGTCCTAGAGGCTGACACAGGATTTAACCCAGAGATGGTGTGCCCCACCCCCACAGTGACCCAACACATGGCCCCACCAGAGGCAGGATGGTATGGAGAGGGCCCAAAGAGCCTGATAATTCCTCCTTGACCAGCCAGACATTCTTGTGTTGCCAGTTCAGAAAAGCTAAGCCACAGGGTGGAGAAGACGGTCCACCCAGGGAGGAGGGGAGAGGAGGCTCACAGAGGGGCCCACACCTCCAAACCTTTTGGTTCAGTTTGTTTTCAGAGACAACAACAGGTGTATGAAATGACCCAACAAAGAGAGAGGGTGTAGCCCCAAGAGACTGGGCTTGGGGTGCCCAAACATGTAGCTATTAGTTAAAATGCCAGCTAAATCCCTGTGTCGTAAACAAGAGGACTTAGCCAGTGACTCAGGTTTTATACCTTTTATGTTGTAAAAACAAAATGAAACTCGGCCAGTGGCTTACCACCCGGCCCAGAAATTCAGAACCTGGGCCGGAGGGGAGCCGAGGGCAGCCTTGATCGGTGAAGGGAAGAAAGCAGGAAGTTCCTGGTGAGGCCGAGGTGAGAACTCCTTGCCAGATGGCGCAGCTCTTGGCCAGGAAAGAAAAGGCTTCTGTTGGAGACGAGCTCAGAGAGGAGGCTGTGTAGGAGTTGGGCTTCATTTGGGGTAGGTGGAGGGGAGTTTCCTTTGAATCCGAAATCTAGAGTCAGAGTGAGAGGTGCTGAGAGAGAGAGAGAGAGAGAGAGAGAGAGAGAGAGAGAGAGGTGCTTTGGCGGGATGAAGCAATGGGGCCCTCCTCGTAAAAGTTATTTCTTGGATTAGTGTGTGGAGAATTTAAGTTGCCCCTTAAACTAAATGGAGAAATCCTAGAGGGAGGGGATCTGTCACCGGACTTGAGGAGAGCTCTCTCTGGATTGCAGCAATGACAACACTGTGATAAAACCGACTAGACTTTTTCTGACAGAAACATGAATTCTCCCAGGAACATATTATTGGCAAAAGATGCTCGTTAATCATGAATTTATTTGTCCCCAACAATTTCTTTTTCTAGTGTAAAAATATTCTGGTCATTATATAATAGAGTGCAAGACCCCGCCAGGCTCCTGAACCCATATTCTGCCAGGAAACCCAAGCATTGGTCTAGGACAGGGTCTCACTGTTGCAACTTCCCCCCAAATGCAACAGGTACAGAACACATGGATAGAGATATACCAAAGTCCATTTCCCCAGGACGTTGGAGGAAACACAGGGTGACACTATTACAAAGCGGCACGTGGTTGAAGCAGGATCGTACCCCTTTTCTCTGGGGACTACCCTCTCTGCCCATGCCTCTCTGACGAGCAGGGAGTTAGAAAAGGCAAACTCTTCCCCTAGGGATGATGATTGCTGACCATTTCCATTTTCCATCCTTTGTAGATCCTTCCATCATGAACACCTGGAAAGAAGAAAACTATTTATATGACCCCAGTTTTGGTAGCACAGTAGGTAACTAACTCCCCAGCACCCCACACCCTTTTACATTCTCATTCTGTAATTCTAATAGCCAAGAAGTTCTGTTGTCCAGAGGGCGCCGTCAATGTCTTTCTATCTTTACATTGCTACAGATTTGTTGGACAGCAAAACTTTCTGCCGGGCCCAGATCTCCATGACAACCACCAGCCACCTTCCTGTAGGTAAGCTGTCCTGCCATCAGAGCTAAGGGGGCCTCATGCATGTGCTTACCGAGAGTTAATGAGACCTGCCGACACCCTGGCTTCCACTTGGCTGGAGTCTCATGAAAGGGCTAAGGAAGGGACGGCGTTACTATTTATAAAAGATCTTTTTTGAGCCAATATTTGTACGTGGAAAATGACCTGCAAGGGTGCCTCTAGGAAAAGTGCTTGTCTCCTGTGAAACCAGTTTTTGTGATAAGAAAAACTCTCTTTTCAACAAAAACCTGCTCTTGGGAAATTATCTGATAAAATTTCATACTTGAGTATACTTACGGGGGAAGAGGCTATATTTAATTTTTGGCACACTGTATTTAGCTTCAGAGAAAGAATGTCTAACGGAGTCTGTGAACCTGTGGCGATGGTCTTTGGGTAGGGAGGTAGCAATTGGAAATGTTCAGAACCCCGGAGATCACACTAGTTTGTTAGTCCTGGTGGCTCATCAGGACTCTCTAGTTAGTCACTTTCTGAATTGTGTTCACATTAGTTGTATTTGGTTAAGATTGGACGGACCAGGGGGCCATCCATGATCAGTCAAGGTGACGCTGAGGGAGAGGGTTGGTCTGTGGGGAGTCTGGGAGAGGGGCTTTCAGATAATACCCCCCCCCCCCTTTTACATGCAGAACACTGGCACGCACCATGTAGGGATGAGTGCACTGGGGAGATGAACAGAAGGTTTTGTGTTGACCCTTGACCTGGGTGCGAACTTGCAGATCTGTCTGCCTCTATGACATGGAGCTTAGACTTGTCACAAGCAAATCACTCTTTTCCTGGAACTGCACTTGGGACAACTTCAGAACTGCAATTTAAACGAGTGTTTGGGAAAGAAAGCACAGACTCAAACAACAGCCCCTTCTCCCTCTTTTTTTTTTTTTGCATATGTTTTTGAGAACTGAAATCATGAAAGCTTATGGTTTGAGGTTTTGTTGGGGTCAAGCCCCTTGAATGAGGCAGGGCTGGGAGCCAGTGTAAATGCTTCTGGGATTGAGGTTAAGAACTGAGGCCAATTCATTTGTCTACTCCCCCCTTCCCCCAGCCTATGTGTCACTCTCAGTATCTGCCGACATTAGGAAACAGATCCCACACTGGAAAGGCTCTGGGGGATGTGCCCTTCTGGGGGAACTGAGCCAATCGAGGTTCATTTCTGTGGCAATCGCTGCCACACAAGAGCAAGGGTTTCAGAGCTGAGGACACCACCCTTTGACTTCCTCTCACACTTCCTAAGGTGTCACCTCCCACATCCTTCCAGCTGGGTCTTTGGCTTATGGCAAAAGATTCCTGAGCCTCAGGGGTTGAGAGGTCTTGAGGCGCCTTGGACACCTAAGAACCATGTCGCAGCTCTGTGCCCTCACAGCCGGGCCCGCCTCTCTCTTCCGTACCCTGACTTCTAGAGTCTCCGAACCGACGGAGGCCTGTTCCCGCTTTTGTATGGGCAGTAACAGCAAACGCAGTCTCCTGAGTCCACCTCTTCTAGTGTGGAAAAGTCCTTCTTAAAATGAGCTTTACAAATCTGCTCTCCATGATTCCCCCCTGATTCTTGACGCCCCATTCCTCATTCCTATCCCACGAGTGGAACACAGGCTGGAACATGGGATCATCAGTTCAGGTCCTCTCCCAGAATCATTGCTTAAAGAATCAATTCGGTATCAGGGGTTGGCAAATTCATTGGAGTAACAGCTCTCCAGTAGGATATGTACTTGCAGCCCTGGTGGGTCGGTTCCTCTCAGTATAGTTTAGTGTCCATTGGATGGGACCAGAACCCCTGCCCCACCCCAACCTCAAAAGACCTTTGTCATTTGTCTGAGTCTTTCCCTTTCAAGCTCCCATTAAATTGAATGCAATGAAATATCGTCCTACGTTTTAATGCAAGTTGCAAGTTGAGGGAAGGCGAGGCCGGGTAAACTGATGCCCTCTGTGATAAACGCGGGAGGGGAGGCGGGCTTTGTTTTGATTTCCCTGCCATCTGCCCATTTCATAAAATGGCTGCTGCCAGTGTTCCTGATCTGCCCGATAGTCCCTGAACCAATCGCACCAACCCGGGCCTGGCGTGTTTATTCACCGACTTGCTGAGCCTAGAGCTAGGGTGGCACAGTCTGCTGGAACACTGAAATTTGTATATCCCGTAAAGAAATGGCTCACCGCTGAATCATATGCAAATGCTTCTAATCCTCACTTCTTGCGAAGCAGCTTTGCTGAAGTCACGATCCGGCTCAGGCACCGTCAGCCCGTGGCCTCTGCCACCCCTGCCCTGGCCGGACCTTGGCCTGAGGGGCCCGGGGGCCCGGCAGAGAAAGCCCAGCTGGACCACTTCCCCAGAGCCGGCCCTTCTTTTATAAGCATGAATCACCTGACCACATGGCTGTCCTTACAGGTTTTGACTTTTATTTGGGGATGAGGGGAAGACCTAGGGGGAGAGGCTGTCTTATTAAAGGAGGTTTCAGACGAAAAGACTGTAGGCAGCTCAGGGATGCCATGGCTTGCCCTCACTCAGTGGGCACGGGGCAAGGAGGCAGGAAGAACTTACAGTTTTCTTTAGCCTTTGGCTGCATATTTATCCATATGATGGTGGAAACATTGGTATTTGGGGATCTTTTTTGTTTTGTTTTGATTTGGTCTTTCCCAAACTGGATGGAGGTCTAGCCTAGGTAAACAGCTAACATCTCGAAGAGAAACATCCCTCCTGGTGCCTGGGCTGGGGGTTTTTATCTGGAGTCCCCTGAAGCTGTGTACAGATTTTCACAAGTACACACTATGTGCATTTTTCTGGGGAGAGGTTCCATCCTATTCTCCAAGTTACCTTAACCCCAAAGTCATTGATTCTGCACCGGCCTGGAACCCCTACACAATGACGGGGGCCCATAAACTGGGAGACACTGGGTTTTTCTGAACACAACCCTGGCTTTGAAATCAAGGCTCTGCATCCCTCCTGGCTGCCATTTGAAGATGAGCTTTGCTTGTGGCCTGCTGGGTAAATGCCACTCTTTGTCTGAGGGACAACGTGGCCCTGTCAGAGTGATGTATCACTTGGAAACCGGGGTGACTGCCAGACCTGTTGCAATATTGTCACATCCTGATGAGATGTTGCAACCTCACCCTGAAACCTACAGGGAGGGAGAGTGAAGTCTCCTTGCATTCCTGTGAATTTGTCCTTCTAGATTTCAGAGAAACCCCAGGCAGGTGCAGGTCTCTTGCTGCCCAAGCCAGGGAGGAATTCTTAACCAGAGTAAGAGGTTTCTTTTCTAACCAGGTTTACTAAATCCCTCTCCCCCATCTGGCCACAGCTGTCAGAGAAGCTGCTGGGAGTGCTGAGCTGTGACAAGCTGAGTGATCAGAGAGGCGAGTGTGTCCACGCATGTTGGGAAATACAGGATCATCAAATTGGAATTATTTTCCCCACTAACTAGAGCATTATAGAACTGAACCTGGATCTGGGCAGGGAAGACTTTCATAAAATCTGTCATGTGCCAGCAGCTTAAGAAATGGTCTAGAATAGTGGTTATGAGCGAAGCCCCTGGGTTCAAACTGACCGTGTACGCATCTTGCCTCTGCTCTCAGGCTGTGTAACCTGGGAGAAGTCATTTGACCTCTCTGTGTCTCAGCTCCTCCATAGCTGTGAACTCTGGATCATGCTAGTATCTACCTCATAGGGTTACTGTGTTAATGAAATCAAGTGAGCCATGCAGAGTGCCTAGCTCCATGCCTAGTACATAGAAAGTGCTCAATAACAGCAGCTGTTCTTAACCATTTAAATTGGGAGCTAATGATTATTCAAACTTTTTTGAATAATGGACCGCTCTTAACAATTTAATGAACGCTATGGTCCTTCTCCCTTTGCCTGCATTTTCCATCAATCTGAAATGCCCTTGAAGCCCTGATGTAAGGCACACAGAAGAGATGCATTTTACTGGCCCAATTTCCTAACAAACTGGCTTGTGTTTAGGGACTATTCTGTATTAAAATTGGTGGATTTTTGATCGTATGATTTTTTATTTTTATTTTTGGTTAAGATCTGCCTTAGACACCCAAAGTGCATGTGTGCGTAAATACCACACACACACACACACACACAGCTAGATCATTCCGTTTTCTTTTCAAGAAGTTTTATTTCTCAGATCCACCTCTGTCATCTCCTCCTTGGTGATCGTCACAGGGCTACCATAATGAGTCATTTGTTAAACTAATCTGTGTTTCCATAGTCCATGTGGCCCTCTGTGTTGAGCTCAGGTCAGTCAATGGCCCCTTTGTCAGGCTGATTAAAATGTAACTTTGCATGCCAAAAAAGGCACTCCTTTGGCTTAAAAGCTGTCTTTCTTTGTTATGAATGTTTACATTTTTGTATTATAAAAAACAGAAACCCTTTCAGTGACTTAAGTCCTTCAATGGCTTTCCATCTCTCTCAGAATAAAAGCTAAAATCCTAAAATCCCACAAAGGCTTAATGGTCTGAACCTCCTTTCCTACCTTCTGCCCCTCGCTCACTGGCATACTGGCTTCCTGCTGCTCTGTGGACATATCAAACACACACTGACCGCAGAGCCTTTGCTCCTACTATCCTCATTCTTGGAAGACTTGCACAAGTTTTCTGCATGGCTGTCTCCTTCACACCCTTCTGGTCTCTTCCGTAACCACCACCTTCTATTAAATTGCCAATTAATCCCATCGCCATCCTTCTATCCCCAGTTCTTACCCTGCAATGTTTTTCTCCATAGCACTTACCCTCTTTGCTTTGTACTGGTCACTACCACATCCTGGAAATGTGCCAGGCATGTAGTAGGTGCTCAATAAATATTGGTTAAATGAGTGGATGCATGAGTGAAAAGAATAATCAAAGGAAAGAGGTAAATTAAACAGCTCTCGTTTTTCTCTTTAGCAGAGTCACCTGATATGAAAAAGGAGCAAGACCCCCCTACCAAGTCCCACACCAAGAAGCACAGTAAGTCAGCTGGCGTTCAGAGGGTGCTTAGCCGGTCCCTTCAAGTTGGGTATAATTGGAGGCCACTAGTTTTTAGATGAATATTACCTCTGCCTGCTGCTGCCTCCATGTCTTCACCTCAGACTGGGGGGGGGGGGGGGGGCAGAGGCGTCACTTGCTGGCAGGGTAACACCTATGAAGTTGTTTCTGAGTGGAGCCCCGGGGCGCACATCCTTCCATTTTGTTCTTTGTTCTAAAACTGAGACACCCAGTGGATAAGAACTTCTCGTAGGCATGGGGTTAGCGGTTTCCCGTTTTCCAGAGAAAAGGGTGGGAAGGGGAGAAAGGGGGGAGACATCTGAGCTGAGAGGCAGTGTTGTTTTTCCTCTGCCGAATATGTGCTTCCTACCTTTGTGGAGCTGCTGTTCCAAGAAGTGACTGTTTATTCTCCAGAGTCAACAGTGCTCCTTGGGAGTTGCATTTTCCCCAATAATAAAACCTTATGAAAGTATATGAACTATCAGAGACGGGTGTGTGTGTGTGTGTGTGTGTGTGTGTGTGTCGAAATAAATCAAGACAGTATAGCCTAGAAATTACAGGGAACTGGATATCTTCGTTATTGGCTACTCCAGATCCTCCCGCAGTACGAAATGAACACAGCCCCTCAAACTGGGGGCTGGGGGGTAGTGTGTCACACGTCTAGCAGGGGTAAATTGAATTTGGTGGCTAATCTTATTACAGTTACCCCTTCAGTTTTAAGTTGGCCCCCTCAGCCCCAGCCAGACCTCGCCTCAATCTATTCTAGGAGTTAAAGTGCTAGAACCCCATTGATGTGCAGCGATGTAATTGGTCGAAGTACTGACTAAATGAAGGTGGCTGAAAGTTGCCCTCTGGGGAAACAACACGTTGAAATGGATCCCAAAAAATTTGTCAACAATACTCAGAAAACAAATACAGGACACCTAACGCCCATTCTTCCCTCTTGGCTTTGCCGCTATGTAGCCTTGGTCAAGTCACTTAGGTTCTCTGTGTCCCAGTTCCCGGTTTGCAAACGAAATGCCTTTGTAAAATGCACACTGTTTAGAAATGTGTGATCTGCTTCGCGGGGGGCTAGGGGGAGAACGGCGTGCCCCCCGTTCCACGGAAGATGCTCCGGCTGGACGCTGTCTCTGCACCCAATTCCGGCGCCTCCGGCCGTCGCTCAACAACTCTTTCTGCTTCCAGATCCACGAGGGACCCACTTATGGGAATTCATCCGCGACATCCTCCTGAACCCAGACAAGAACCCGGGATTAATCAAGTGGGAAGACAGGTCGGAGGGCATCTTCAGGTTCTTGAAATCGGAGGCCGTGGCTCAGCTCTGGGGGAAGAAGAAAAACAACAGCAGCATGACCTACGAGAAACTCAGCCGAGCCATGAGGTGAGCGGCTCCTGGCCCTGAGCACCTGGGGCCCCACGCCCCGCGAGGTCCCGGGCCGCCGAGTCTCACCCGCTTCCTTACGCAATGTCTTTTGTTGCAGATATTACTACAAAAGAGAAATTCTGGAACGCGTGGACGGACGGAGACTGGTATATAAATTTGGGAAGAACGCCCGTGGATGGAGAGAAAATGAAAACTGACACTTGGAACACGAACCAAAACACACCCCCAGTCCTAACCAGCCAGAACTCCTGGACGTAAATATTTCAAAGACGACTTTTCTCTGATATTTATGTACCATGAGGGGGAGGAAAAAAAAATCGACTTCTAACGGGAAGAAGGAACACTACAGTTGAGACAATTATTTTGTTACTTTGAAGTATATCCTATGTGGGGAACAAAAGTACACAGTTTTCTGTGAACTATGTCGCTGTATGTGGTTGTGTTTTGTTTTTGCTTTTATTGTGAAATTCTTTTCCACTGCGAGAAGAATGGGGTTTGTGGCCTTCTGCTTCTTGCTGAGAGAAAGGAAAAAAAAAAATTGGAGGGCATTAAATATTTTTATATGCAAATGATTTAGGAAAAGGTGACGTGTCCTTCGCACATAAGCATCCACGTGGGCGCTTGGATGGACTCCAGGGTCGCAGACTGACGGCTTGAACCAGAGGATGCTGGGAAGTTGAACCTGACCCTTAGGAGCCACTGAGTGGAGGAGGAGGACTTCCAAAATCCAGGTGGACTGTAACCACTACATAATCACAGGACTTGCAATGTTCAAATAGGCGAGAAGAATTAGGGTGGGGGCGGCATCCTCGTTCAGGAATGCCTTCCCCTCTCCCTTGGATGATTGCTGAAAAACTTCAGTTACCACCTCACTCACTTCTAGTTGCTTAATAAAGGGTTGCAGTCTTGGTTATTTTTATCCCAATCGATTAAAACAATAAATGGGGAAAAAAGAAGGTGGTGGTGAGTTTGCTCCTGGATTCCTCCAGTCCATGGGTTCTCAATGGGCGCATTTGACATTTTTGGCCAAATGAGTCCTTGTTGTGCATTACTTGGCTGTCCTGTCGGATGTCTAGCAGTATCCATGACCTCTGTTCTCTAGTAGCACTTCTGTCTCCGAAGCTGTGGCAGCCACAGCTGTCTTCAGACATTTCCAAATGTCCCCTGGGGGGGGGGGGACAATTGCCCTTGATGGAGAGCCACTGATTTAGCCAGTCAAGATGAAGATGGTGACGTATTCTTAGAATAATAAGATATGTGAGATCTTTTAGTACCTAGGAAGAAGCAGAAGCAACACTTCAAAGTCAGCCTATGTTTAATTTTTAAAATATGAGGGGCAATGAGTTTAAATATCTAGAGGGACTTCTTTTCAGAACCTTAGATGAGAGCCAAAGTCAGATAAATTGAACAAGGTAATGTAGCAAGAATTAAAAGAAGACATTTTCACTGGAATTACAAGCAGAGTAAAAATTATATTGTAGAAGGAAATGCTGAGAGAAGAATATGTGTATATGTGTGTGTATGTGAGTGCGCGCACGAGAGAGAGAGAGAGAGAGAGAGAGAGAGAGTTCCAGGGAAAATCTTCTTTCCAGATGTTAATTCCTGATAGTCTTTCCTCTTTTGGATCATCTTTTTCCTGTCTCATTTCACTCATCTGAAAGTGTGTTGTGTAGATTTGCAACCAGAGGAATGTTAAGGAAAAAGAAAAAGAAAAGAGAAGAAAAGAAAAGATGTGAGGATGCGAGAAAAAAACAGAAAATAGCTCAGGAGCTATGGTCAGTAAGAGATTTTTCTCAGTGATGGGATTGTTTTGGGTTCCTGGAGACTTATCACTGGGTCCTGTCATCGGGAGGATTGTGAGCCTATAAACACTTTGCAAATGGATTTGAACATCCAGATTGGTTTTGCCACTTTTCCTTCTGGCTCCCCACGTCCTTGGGCTCCTCCTCCCTTCTGCCTCTCTTGAGCAGTGGGGCTGAAGACACACCAATAAGAGGGAGTGGATCACCTGCCACAGGTCTTAGCCAGCAGAGGTGAGCAGTTCTTAGTCAAAGGTTGTAAAGTGTTTGTAATGTATTCAGAAGGCTGGAAGTAAGAAATATGAACAATTCTTCCAATTCTAATGACAGCCATTATCAATGGCGACTGTGGCATGCCAGGGTAGTGAGATGAATGACCTTCTGAAGGTACAACCAAGTCCATTTTTGTTTCTGCCTGGCTTGGGCACCTATTGTTAAGTAACAGTTACTGATGAACTGAGAGAAATAACAGTGAGACTTTCCTGTAGAAGACACACCTTGCTTTCTAAGCCAGACTAAGAACTATGATGCCTTCCCAGCATTTGACTATACTTCCCATGGAATTAATTAAACATCCAGATATTTGAATTGGTGTAAACATGTGAATGGGTGTCTGTGTGCATCTGAATTGTGTGAAGATATTAGGGGCATCTGCTAATTCTCTCTCTGCTATTCCTTCCTCGACTTTGCCTGTTTGTCACGTAAGGTGGCTAGATTTTTCTCTGAGTTTACCCTTCCCCAAACCTGTAAGCTTCTCACATTTCTTCAAACTGGCTCTTTCTGCACCCTCTCCATTGAAGGGCAATCTTTGCTAGGTAGTGAGTCTGGGGAGTACAAACTGGAGCAGTTCTGCAAATAATTAGCAGATTGTGTTATTTCTTGAGAGTGACAGTTTCTTGGCACTCAAATCCCACTTAAATAGGCTGGGGTATTAAGTTCTCGGCATATCTTTCTATTGTCTTGGCTTGAGTTTGATGCATTTTCTATGTGCTGTTCGTGACTTGGAGAACTCAAGGTAATCGAGCCGTGCCAACCTGAAGTGTGAACAGAACATTTCCCGCCACAATGTTGAGAGGGAGAGTAAAATCCCAGAGATAAGCCAGCATCAGGTAAAGCACCCCCTTCTTTTGGGGGACACATGGCTTCTTTCTTGAGAAGCTTCTCTGTGCTGGATGCTCACATGGTCACTACACATGGCCTCCTTGAACCTTTCTTAAGCTAAAGGCTTGGGCTCTTTTTTGTAGTTTTCCTGGGAACCCGAGGCAGGAAATGTGTTGCTAAGACTTGACCAGACTCATGTCATCCAAGACGCTTAGGAACTTGACTTGATGAAACTTGAGTACGGCCCAGGGAGCCAGGGCCGAATCTACAGCTTCTTGAACTTGCCTTCTGAGCCGGGCAGACCCAAGTTATGACTTTTCCTTTGGACAAGGTGGTCCTTCAGAGTTTTTGCCTTTCTAGACTGTAAGCTCTTCATGGGCAGGGACTATATCTTATCAATATTTTTTCCCTGTACCTAGCATAAGATAGGTACTCAATAACTATTTGTCGAGTTAATAAAAGAATGTCTTCTGGAAGATTCCTCAGATTGGGAGGTCCTATCCAGAATCGGGGGATAGGAATCTTTTCTTCACCAGAATAAGAGCACGACAGCCGTGACTTCAAGGACATGTCCTCTAGTAGATGAACATTTTATTGTGAGACTCCTCACTCTGCCTCCCTAGCTGCGCTGCAATGACACCAAACGGGCTGTTCTACAAGTCATGTGTTGGATGGGAATTCTGTTGTTTTATTAGGAACTGTGAGATTTATCTGGTATAAGAAACCAGAAATGAACCTTTGACCTGTTTTAACCAATAAAGATTATGAATGTGTTTATATTATGTAAATTGCTATTTAAGTGTAAAGCAGTTCTAAGTTTTAGTATTTTTGGGGTTGGTTTGTATATATTTTTTTTCTTTTGAAAAATATGGAGGGATATTTTGATAAGGTGAGTCATGCATGTTAGATTTTAGTTTTGCAAGTTTGTTGTTTTTCAAATGTATAAAATATAGGAAAAGGTAAAATAATAAGAGGGAAAACAATTATATTCTTCTTCTGTAGTTAAAAAAAAAAAGCATTTGTTAAGTGCCCAGTGTATGCACTGAATGAAACCAGGTGTGTGAGGAGCTTATCTAATCATGTGGGGTGTAATAGATACCCTGTATGAACCTAAGGGGTGAACACTTACTGTGTTAATTCAGTATAAGAGCTGAATTAACCTCAGCATTGGTTCTCAGGATCCCATTTCTGCAACAAGAGATAGAGCATTTAATAAAAACCCATCGAAACTGTGCCTTATGCACCACTAAAACATACAAGCCATTGCAAGTTTAGCTAAATCGGGATCTTTTCCTAGCTATCTACATAATTCTTGCTTTTCTTCCCATTGGGTTTCTGGGTAGACACTTTATAGAAAACAACCCTACTGCAGCTATTTTTTAAAAATCAGAAATCTTGCCCTTTAAATTATGTGAAATTCAAGTTGAGTATTTCTCTTTTATGAAAGAATTATATTTTTCAAAATGTTTTCTGTTTGTTTGTTTGTTTGATGGATCCCAGGAAACACTAATAAAAACCATGTAGACCATCTTGTAACTGTGTGTTTCGTGCTTCAACAAGCCATCCACAGCGGGGCTTAGAGGAAATGTACTTAGTTTAAAGCAACAAAACATGCAGTTCCTATATTTATTTATTTATTCAATAAGCATTTATTGAGCATCTGCTCTGTGCCAGGCACTGTCCTAAGCACTGAGTTATGGCAGAGAAAGGACAAAGAACTCTGCTCTCATGAAGTTTGTTCTATTGAATGGAAACAGACAAGAAACAAAACAGCCTATCAGATATGCAGTCAAGAAATGCAGAGCAAGGAAGAGGAGAGTGCTGGAGTATGTTGGGATAGATTGCAAGTTTAGACAGGGTTAAGAAGAAAACATTCCAGTAAAAATCTGAAGGATATAAGGGAAGGAGCCATGAATATAACTGGGGGAATGATTCCTTATTGGAGGGACCAGCAAGTGCAAAGGTCCTGAGGTGAGTGTGTTTCTAACATGTCCAAGGAACAGCAAGAAAATTCGTTTGCCAGAGTAGACTAAGCAATAGTAAGAAATTGTGTAAAAGAGGTCCCAGCAGGCCAGATCACACAGAACTTGGAAGCCATTAATGAAGGCTCCAGCTTTTCTTTTGAGTGAAATGGAGGGCCACAGAAGAGTGACATGCTCCAACTTCTGGTTTAAAAGGACCCTACTGGCTGTTATGTTCAGAATGAATTGCAGAAAGGCATTTAATGCTGAGTGTACATTCTTAGTGAATGATGAACAAGAGGTAGAAAAGATTACTCTCACATGCAGGTTTTCAATACAATACTTAAAAATATTTCAAAGCTCTACCACTTCATGACATATTTCTCCCGGGCCAAGAAAGTTCCAGTCATTCAGTCACTTAACTTCATAAATAATAGTGAAAATAATAGCTAGCCATTTCGGGAAGATCCCCTTGGTGCCAGGAACTGTGATACGTTCTTTATATACATTTGAAATCTGTGATATATAGATATTATTCCCAATTATTAAATGAGGGACAATGAAGGTCAGAAAAGGTTAAATGACTTTCTTAAGGCTTCACAGCTAGTAATAAGTGGGAGGGCTGGCATTGTACACACACACACACACACACACACACACACACTCACACGGTTTCCTGGTTAATACGGAGTGGGTGTATTTCAGAGTTCTTTACTGTTAGGATCTCAGAGCCTTCACTGTGATGATGTGCATTATGAATCTCTGAGAGGGGAAAACATGCCCCCAATTCCCCAAGCCTAATTGATAGTGGATGCTTTTTATCAAAAATTGTATGAAACTACTACCCTTTGAAGCACACTTAGGGAAATGATGTTCTTTAGAGATTACTTCTCTGACTTGATTACTTTTCATGTTGGGCCAAATTCATATGCTGATAATACTCATGCACATCAGACTTGACCAACTTTGTATATATTCTCTTTCTTTTTTCTCATTGTAAAGGAATCCCCTCACTGCCCTGGGCATTACGCATTTGCACTGATGCATTTCTCACTTGTCACCATGAACTTGCAAAGTGACTCTTTGGGAATATAAACTCTCCTGAATTTTAACTCTTTATAACTATTTGTGCAAATCTACAGGCACTAGCCACATGTGGCCATTTAAGCTTAAATGTAGTTAAAATTAGTTTAAATTTAGTGAAAATTACAGTAATTAAAAAATGTAGTCTCTTAATTGCACTATCCACATTCCAGGTACTAAATAGCCAATATGACTCGGTTACTGTATTGGACAGCGCACATATAGAACATTGCCGTAGTCAGAGAAGTTCTACTGGACAGAACTACTCTGGAATCCAGCCTGGGAGGATGAGGTAAGGGTGGAAAGGGTAGTGAGCAAAACTAACAGTGAAACAAGATCCAGTTAGCCTTAGAAATCAAAGGTGACCCTGAATAGCAGAGAATAAAAAAAATAAAGATCCAAAGCAAATATCTCTGTGTTTGCTGGAATGGTGACAATATCTACCAGTGCAAACAAGTTTGATGCTGTCAATGGAGTCTTGGAATGGGAGGATTTGATTATTTTTATCTCCAAGCCCCCCAAATATCCTCTAGTCATTAATATGAAGGTTCGTTCCAAGAAGGCCTT